AATTGGCCCTCCTCCGAAGCAAGATGAGCAGCGGAGGCGGAGTGGGCGGCGCGCCAGTTCCTGCCGAGGAGGTGTACGCCGAAGGCACGCCGCTGGAGAAGCAAATCGTCAGCATCACTCAGTCGGACGGTAGCGTCAAAAAAGTTTCCAAGGCGGAAATTGCGGAGCAACTCAACCAGAGCGAGAAGCTCCTCCAGGATCTGAACCAGACGTGGGAGCAGAAACTGACCAAAACAGAAGAGATCCACAAAGAGCGGGAAGCCGCGCTCGAAGAGTTGGGCATCAGCATCGAAAAAGGCTTCATCGGCATGTCCACCCCCAAAAAGATGCCTCACCTCGTCAATCTCTCCGACGACCCCCTCCTCGCCGAATGCCTGGTCTATAACCTCAAACCCGGCCTTACCACCGCCGGCAACGTCGAGTCCAACGCCGACCACCAAGCCAACATCCGCCTCAACGGCTCGCGCATCCTCCACGAGCACTGCGTCTTCGAAAACGCCCCCGATGGCATCGTCACCGTGACCCCCAAGGATGGCGCCGCAGTCATGGTTAATGGCCAGCGCATCAACGAGCCCACCCGCCTTCACTCTGGCTACCGCATCATCCTCGGCGACTTCCACATCTTCCGCTTCAACCACCCCATGGAAGCCCGCGCTGAGCGCGCAGAGCGTATCGAACTGCAGCAACAACAACAATCTCTCCTCCGCCAGTCCCTCACCGCCAACCAACTCCAAGCCCTCGAGCGAGCCGCTGCCGCATCACCCACTCGCTCCAGCGGGCCAAGCCACGACCGCTCCCTCAGCGCAGCATTTTCCGACTACGACAATGCGAGCAGCCGCCCGGACTCGCCTTCCCCCTTTCAGCGCAATACCAAGGAGTCGGACTGGTCGTTTGCGCGCCGCGAGGCGGCGCCTGCGATCCTGGGCACGGACCAGAACTTTGCGAAGCTCACAGATGAGGAGCTGAACGCGCTGTTCGAGGACGTACAGCGCGCACGGGCGGAGAGGGTGGTCGTTGGAGGGAGTGGGGTTGGTGGTGGTAATGGTGGGGGGCGGGCGGGATGGGGACGATGACGCGGCGGATATGGAGTCGATGGCGTCGTATCCGATTCGCGAGAAGTACATGTCGACGGGGACGATTGATAACTTTTCGTTGGATACTGCGCTGACGATGCCGTCGACGCCGAAGCAGGTGGGACTGGTGGGATGGGGGTGGGAGATGGAGGATCGGTCGCTAAGGGATATGCGCGAGGAGATGCAGAGTCAGCTGGAGAAGCAGAAGGAGGAGTTTCAGGAGCAACTGAAGAGCGCGGAGGCGGCGAATGTGGAGGTGGAGGAGATTAGGAGCGAGAAGGCGCGGATGGAGGAGACCTTGGTGAAATTGAAGGTGGAGATGCAGAAGCAGTTGGAGGTGCAGAGGAGGGAGTTTGAGGAGAAGATTGAAAAGTTGGATCCGCTCAAGAGGCCCAAGGCGAAGGCGAAGTTGTCTCCTGAGGAGGTTGAGCGCGCGAGGGGGGTGGTCAAGCACTGGCGGAGTCGGCACTATGTGCGTATGGCTGAGGCGGTGCTGCAGCATGCGGCGACGCTGAAGGAGGCGCAGATCATGAGCCATGAACTGGACGAGCATGTGGTGTTTCAGTTTACCGTGGTGGATGTCGGGCATGTGGTATGCTCGTCGTACGACATGGTTCTCAACGGGCTGACGGGCGAGGGAGAGGATATTGCGCTGGAAGAGGCGCCGAAGCCGTGTGTTGGCGTGCGGGTGGTCGACTACAGGCACGGCGTCGTCCATCTCTGGAGCATCGAGAAGCTTCATGATAGGGTCAGGCAGATGCGCCAGATGTACCAGTACCTCGACCAGCCAGAGTATGCCCAGCACCTGAGCCTCGACAACCCCTTCATCGAGGCCTGCATGCCGCAGTACACCCTGGTAGGGGAGGTGGATGTGCCCCTGAAGGCGGTGTTTGAGAGCCGCGTGCAGGATTTTACCCTCGACGTCTTCTCCCCGCATACCTCGCACGCCATCGGCATCATCAAGCTCGCGCTGGAACCGTCCAGCGCCCGCGCGCCGAGCAACACACTCAAGTTCAACATCGTTATGCACGAGCTGATCGGCTTCGCGGAGCGCGAGGGCACCGAGGTGCATGCGCAGCTGTTTATCCCCGGCATCTCCGAGGACGGCATCACGACGACCCAAATGATCAAGGACTTTGACGAGGGCCCGATCCGGTTCGAGAGCGTTCATAGCATGAGCGTGCCGCTGTTCGCACCCCCGCAAACCACCCTACGGGTCGCCATCTTCGCCAAGGTGTCGGCCATGCACCTCGACAAGCTCCTCAGCTGGGACGACATGCGGGACGCAGTGCCCAACTCGCAGGGCAAGCCCAGGGGGTCACGGCTGAGCGAGGCGCACTTTTTCACCGAGGAGAAACACGACCTACTCGCGCGCGTGCAGATCCTTGAGATGAACGAGGAGGGCGACTATGTCCCCGTCGAGGTGACGCAGACCAGCGAGCTGGATGGCGGTACGTTCCAGCTGCACCAGGGCCTGCAGCGCCGCATCGCCGTCAGCATCACCCATAGCTCGGGCGATGCTCTGCCGTGGGACGATGTGGTCGCCATGCGCGCGGGGAAGGTCGCCCTGCTCGACAGTGCCGGCAAGACGCCTGACATGGGCTCCGCCAGCCCGGAAATATCCCTCAAGCTCGCATCGCCGCCTGTGTTCCGCACCAACGCCAACGGCACCCGCGCCATCACCATGCTCGGCCAGTGGGACTCGAGCCTGCACAACTCTCTCCTGCTGGACCGCGTCACGGCGGATAAGTACCGCGTGCAGATGACGGTTTCGTGGGAGATCAGCTCCGAGAAGCTGGCCGAGCCGATGAAGTTCTCAATGAACCTGTGCTGTCAGATCCTTTCGCGGTCCTTTGTGCGCCAGACGTCGATGTTCTCAGCGCTGTGGCAGCAGCTGCGCATCGTGCATTCCGCGACAGGGATATTTACGCTACAGATGCGCCCTGCGCCGATTAAGAGAGTGGGCGATCTGTGGCGGATGAATAGCCAGCATGATTATGTCAAGGGCGAGGAGAACCTGCTGGCGTGGACACCAAGGGGCGTTTCGCTGGTGGCGGACTACATCACGGCGCGGAAGAAGAGGGGCATGATGGCCGAGATTGCGGCGGTTCAGTCCTTTTTGAAAAAGATCGGTTTCCGCGATGAGAAGGAGGATGTCCACGAGGAGGACGATGATATTCCTCTCCCACCACCAATCCTCTCCGACGAGGACTCCATCGCCGAGCTGCTCAGGGACGATGAGCCTGAAGAGCTTGAAAAAACCCCATCTCTTGCATCCCCCGAATCTACCCCTGAACCAACCACAAACGACACCATTTCTCCTGCAGAAATACCCCTACCACCCTCCCCTCACCCCAAGCAGAATACACTCCCTTAACTCACCCTCCTCCAAAATCCCTCTCCTCTGGCTCCTCCACCCGGACCCAACCTCAAACTCCTCTCCCCTCCAACACCTCCCCGCCGGAGGACTCCTCCTCAATAACCTCCCACCATCATCCCCGCGCACCTTCATCACCACGGTCGTGCGCGTCCCCAAGAACCCGACCGTCCTCCGCGGCGGCTATCTGCTGGTCCCCAACGCCGATTCCACACGCTGGGTGAAGCGCTTTGTGGAACTGCGCCGGCCGTACCTGCATGTGCATTCCGTTGCGGATGGGGAGGAGGTTGGGGTTGTGAGTTTGAGGAATGCGAGGTAGATGGGCAGCCTGGAATTTTGGGGTTGTTGGGGTTTATGGGGGCAGGGAGGGTGAGGAGGGGGTGGGGGTGGTGGTGGTGGAAATGGGGAGGTGGATGGGGGTTGAGTGTTAATGGGACTGGTGGGAATGGGTTTGGAGGGTTTGGCACGCCGAGGAGAGGTCCGTCGCCGTCGCCTTCGAGGTCGCCTGCGCCTGGGAGTGGGACAGGAAGGTTGATCGCTTCGCTTTGGCCTGGTGGGGGTGGTGGGAGCAGCAACAATGGGAATGGGAGCGGGAGCACGACGCCGGGGAGTGGATCAGGAGGGGAAGGAAGGGGGTGGTAGTGGAGGAAGAGGAGGGGGATTACAAGGCTCAGCGAGCGGCTACAGGCGGGCGTTTTTGCTGTCTATGGGACGGACAATACGTGGTTGTTTGCGGCGAAGCGAGAAGGATAAGATGGACTGGATCGTAAAGATCGATCAGAGCTTTGCGATGGGGAGTGGAGTGTAAGTGCGGCTAGCAGCGGGGCGGCTAGTCCGCGGTGGTAGAGGCGGGAGGGGGACATGCTCTAGTGAGGCTGGGCCAGGTATCAACGGGAAAGGATCTATGGATGGATTTACCGGGCGAGGATGATAGAAAGGGGCGGGGCGGATACGTAACTCTTGCTATTTACAACTAGGGATACCCAGGGAATTTCCCCCTTTATATATACTTCTATTTAAGCCGCGATGGCTCGTCTTCTCCATTTCATCCCGGGACAATGAAGATTTGAGTGGGTGATATCTATGCACCTTAGCTCTTGCGCCTGAGACTTCTCTTACCCTTTGACCACAGCCATGGTAGAGAGGGAATCCGTAATGGGTTGGAAAGTCTATCCAGCAACCATAAATAACTTCCAACCTGCCCCCCTCCTAATTCGCAAACACCACCTCCTAAAAATCCACTCCAACTTCTCCAGCGCAAGCCGAAATTTCATCCTCTCTTTACACTTCACCTCCCGCCCTCTAAGAAGGTCAATGTATTCAGCCACTCCATGTCGAGCGCAGCATGTCCAAGTTCCTAGAATGTTCTGACCGACTGCGGAGTACAAAGGTCGAATTTATCCCAACATATATTAATGTCCACTAAATTGGGTTATTTTGTTTCGAGGTGCTTGGCCTCGGGCGAGGACTGTGGTTGTGGTGGTTTGGGTGGTGAGCTCTGCGAGCCGGTGCATCTGAGCTCCACTTCTGAGTCCGTTATTCAACAATCTGGCTGGGTGGCCGAGCGGTCTAAGGCGGTAGACTCAAGAATCATTTCTTTCCTGCGAAATGCGGGGTGATTTCTACTCTCGAAAGAGGCATGCGGGGTGATTTCTACTCTCGAAAGAGGCGCGCGTTCGAATCGCGCCCCAGTCATTCTTTCTTTTTTCGGTTTTCCCCTTTTTTCCTTTTTCTCTTTCCAAGCTCTGCCTCATTTTCTCTTTTTGTTGGTTGCAATCCTTTTCGCGATAGCCGCTCTCTAAAACAGGCATAGAGATCGAAACAAACATTTTTCCTTTGAGAGAATGTCAACATCCCGTTCTCGTCTTGGCCACTGGCCAATGGTGACGCATGCAGATCCGCTGCAACGATGCAAGGCATCTTTGTGCCATGGTTCTGGTTGGGAAGGTGGGCGTCATCGGGAACGTGCCGAGGGTGCCTGCTGTTGAGTTTCAGGAACCATTGAAGATCAAACGCATGTCCCTTACAAAGTTATTTCAAGCCGTACGATATTCATACCAAGACAAGACTCCCTCCCATCTCACCCAAAACACCAAACCCCAGATCCTCTCCTGTGAAGTTAAACGTCAATATGTCTTCCTCTACGCAAGCCAACACCACCCACGATGATCCCACCGACCTCAGCACCCAGTACGACACTCCCCTGGGCCTCGCCCACACCACAATGCAGGCCCTCAAGGACCGCATCAAGCTGCACTACGATCTCGCCAGCGACTATTACCTGAACCTCTGGTACATACATCTTTCTCACTTCCAGATATCTATCCTCACACTAACACCCCCTCCCAGGGGCGAACACATCCACCACGGGTACTGGCCCACCGACGCCTCCAAGTCTACCGACTCTAAAGAAACCGCCCAGCTCAACCTGATCCGCCTTTTGCTGTCCGTCTCAGACCTCTCTTCATTCTCCTCTTCCTCTACAAGTGGTGAACCCAAGCCCCTCCGCATCCTCGACGTAGGCTGCGGCGTCGGCGGTACCACGCGCTTCCTTGCGTCGGAGCTCGGGGCGGAGGTCACCGGGATTACGATCTCGGGGAAGCAGGTGCAGATTGCGCGGAGGTTGAGTAAGTCTGCTGCTGGGGGGTGAGGCTGGTTCGTCCGCTGGAGGAGCGGCTGATGGTGGTGGTGCTGGGGTTGGGGCTGCGGGAGACGGGGACGGTCGAATGGCAAACAGCGACGCGGAGGCGGAGTTCACCCCCCTGGGCTCCCACGGCGGGAAAGTCCGTTTCCTCGAGCTAGATGCCGAGAAGATGGGGGAGTTCTTCAGCAATGGTGGTGATGGAAGTGGAAAGGAGAGCGAGGGGTTTGATGTTGTGTGGATTAGTGAGGCGCTGTCTCACTTCCCTAACAAAGCGCTCTTCTTCCGCAACTCGCATAAGTTGTTGAGGAAGGCGGGAAGGTGGTGCTGGCGGATTGGTTTAAGGCGGAGGGGCTGGGGCGGAGGTGTTTGAGGGGATATCAAACCTATTGAAGGTTCGTTTCCCCCCCCCTATTCTTTCTTTTATGGAGTGGAGTGAGGGTTGAGGGGGAGAGTTGACTTTCGCTTGGGAGTTGGTGCTAATGATGTGAGGTAGATGGGATGCTTCTTCCCCCTCTGTGCACGCAGCAGGAGTATGTGAAGACATAAGCTGACTGCTGCAGGGACATCTCGTGGTCACTCGTGCAAAACCCCTCGCTGTGGGCGTTTGCTTTCAGCCAGGGGCGGGACGGGATTGCTTTTCTCCAGGCTTTCCGGGCTATGAGAAGGGGATATGCGAATGGGAGTTTCCGGTATGCTGTCATGGCGTTTGTGAAGCCATCAGAGTAGAGCTAGCATGGTCATGGGAGGGTGGTGTAGTTCTTGCTAGTCAAAATCAGTTCCATTGTCAGTCGAAGACGACGCCGCCCTTCTAGACGCATACAAAAAGCATAGCGTCTCGCCAAAATTGTTCTTCTTCTCCGTGTCATCATCCCATCTCATCTTATCCAATTCCATGCCAAACCCCCATCCCGCCAACCCAAACGTTCTGTGCCCGACCAACCATGCCTTAAGGCCCAACCAGCCACTGAACACCGTGATCCTTCCTCTCATAATAGGCACGGGGTATGGTATCGTTACATAACTCCCTCAAAACAGATAAAAGGCGCACTCGGTTGCGCCTGATGCAAAGAAAAGCAAAACAATCGCCTCAGGAGGAGCGCATTAGATCAGCAACCTCCTCTTAACAGGTGTAGGGATAGGCTCTCCGTCGAGAGTTGTCGATTTCTTGAGTTGTTTCGTCTTGTGAATGGTTTGGATTTTGTCAAGCAGGTGACTGCTGGTTGTTAGCGCTTTGCTACCGAATGAGGCTGGAGGTGATGTCGGGAGGTAAGAACGGTGGCACCGACAGCCTAGACCACTGGGTCTTAACTGAAACCCCCTTGGTAGGGGCGCTGCTTATGCATGTTTGGAATGGAGTTGCATGTGGACGAGTAGAAGAATCGAGGGGAACTAAGCGTACTTAATGGGCATGTGGCCACGGCTCTCTGTAAGAGCCAGGTTGACCTTCTCGGTTTGCGCTTCGTGGTCGCGGAAGTGTTGCTGGATGAGCTCTTGCGATTCCTGCTCGTCGGCACACCGCACGACATAGGTGCAGTCCTCGCTGCACGTCCAGGTGCCGTCCGGCCCGGAAGGCGAAGTCGTCGGGATCGGCTCGGCATAGACCATGACGCGGACGGCGCCGTCCGGCAAGGGCAGACGAGAGCCCACGGTCATCTCTTCCTCCTCAGCGACTTCGTCGTCACTTGTGTCTTCGGCGTCCTCAAACGGATCATCCTCGTCGCTGACCGGATGACTGAACTTGGCCGATTTTCCCCCCCGGCGGCTTCCGCTGGCTTGGTCGTCGAGGTCTGAAAGCGGTCGCTTCTTGGAGGCGGTCGAGATTAGACGCAAGGTTGCTCCTTTGCCGGCCCTCTGGCTGCGCATTGGAGGTGCGGCATAGGCTGCGATGTCTTCATCCGACTCTGCCTCACTTTCATGCTGGGCGGACTTCTTGCTCTTAGCTTTGAGACCAATGTTAGGAGGGACCTGTGCAGCGGACCGCTGCCGCGTTTGGCCCTGTCTGGAACCAAGCGCACGCAGCTGGGTCTGAGATGAGTACAACTCTACCGTGGCAGCGTCGACTGGTTCCGGCTCTTGACTTGCGACCCCCTGCAACCATTTGTACCACTCTGTGCCCTTCCATTCAGGGCCAAGGCGAGGGAGAAGTCCTTGGGCAAAGTAGGTTATGACGTCGACGACTGAATTATAGGTGCGCATTTTGCACTTGAAGTAAATCCTTGAGTGGATTGCTTTCACCGTCGTGGGTTGGACCTTGGCTTCTGTTGTGACAAGCCGCAACCCTGCAAGCAGACGGTCGACGGGCGAATTGAGATCAAGGTCCGAGTTGGGGATCGGATCTTGCGTGTCAGCAGCCGTTCCCATGTGTATGTCTTGTAGGTTGTCTGTGGAGGCCCCAATGGAGATCCCCTTGGGCGCTTCTGCAGTGTTGGGATATCGACTGCGAAGTAGCCGGCTGATGAAGTTGCCGGTATTTCTCTGGTAACGGGATGGGTGTTTCGCTGATTCTGGGCGTCGGTGTATTGCGTGCTTTCGGCTGTGGGCTGCGGGAGCGCTCCGACACGAGGCTTTGAGCCTCGCCACCATCGGCTTCAGGGGCCCAGTTGCTCGCCCTCGCTGATCTGCTCCTCCGTCTATGGGGAAGCTCGATCTCCGGGGACTGCAGCTGCGGGGGTGGCGGGGGGGCAATGATCCCCTTCTGAGCATCAGATACTTTCTTCAGAATGTCCTGCTTCACGTTAGCGGTGAAAGATGTTCCTGCCATCGGTTGAACTTACAGGGTGCTCCCCGCGCAGCCACTTGGCAAAACGGGTGGTGTTCCAGTCGAGCTCATTTTCTTTAGGAAAATGCGGGATCAAGAAATTGGCCCATTTATGGCAAAGAGATTCGACTTCGTGGCGCAGGATCCCGTCTCCGGTCCTCACGGCATAGGAGAAAAAGACTTCGTCCAAATCCGGCTGTGGCGGCCTGCTTCCTTTTTTCTTGCGCGCATGCTCCTCCGCGTGCCCTGCGTAGACCTCGAGTGCGCTGTAGTAGAGGGTCATGGCTTCGAGAATCTGGTCATACATGGGCTGGTATTTGACCGATGGTTGCAGCTCATACCAACCGGCGGCGCCGGACACCCAGAGCGCAATAGGGCCGTCCCCCACCGAGTATTGGGTCGAGTACTGTATTTCGATATAGGCGGAGCGCAGGCTTGGCTTGACGACTGTTGAACAGTCAGCTTGCAGAAGTGCCAGGTGCAATTTCATCTGACTACTCACGATTTGAAAGTTGGTAATCTTGGACCTCGAGGAGACCACGGACAATCAGAGGCCCCTCGAATTGAACCAGCAGCGGGTTAGCCATCGTCTTGCCGTCTTTCTTGTAAACCGTGGCATCGGTGAGGATATAACAGGGCCAATCGCTGTCATCAATGTCCTCCTCTGATACCGGTCTGAGCACCGAGGTCTCTTTGCTCCAGCGAATGTGAGAGTCGTCGGCAGCTGCGGCGGCCGAGGATGAAGACGCCCTCCGCCTTCGCGGTCGACCCGCCATGGTGATAGGGGTGGTCTTCTCGGGGAATAGGGCTATGGAGGTCTGTGAAATGTCGAAACGGCTCGGGGTAAGAAATTATCGGTCGTTGGCTGGTTAGGTAGGGATACTTTTGGTGGTCGCTAAGAGTATCGGCGAAAACACGACCTTCACTGGGTGAAACCGACAAGAATGCGCCAGCTCTTTACACGATTCGAGACCAACGCGCGACCGCCGCGACCACGAACGCGAATGGTCGAAGTGGGGTGGTCTCGAAAGACCAAAAGGTACTGGGTACATAGTGAAAACAAAAACGACGTTAGAAATGTGCACATTGTTCCGCATTCAGAAGTCTCGGTACTCATTGTCTTTAATGTGGGTTCTATTTTCCAATCGATAAAGTCGATCAACTGCCCGCCCCTGCCCCTGTTCTTCTTCCCGTCCCAAAAATTCCCAGGGTCTTGTCTTGAACGAGACGACAGAGGCAATCCATGAGACATTGAAAGCACCAACTCGACGCCCCTCGGTATTTCTCTGCCTG